GGGTTGGCGGTGCGGGTTGGAGACGGGGGTAGTTATGGTGTGGTGGCGTTATATCACTCCGTGCTGACACCGTCGGTCCGTTGCGTACGGGATGCGGATTGGTTGCTTAGGTATGTATTTGGTTTGGCGGCATTTTCGTGGTGTTGATGCGGATTGCTCGGTTGTTCTGTACATACCTAGGTTCTACAAAACAGCGATGGCAGTGGGCATTGGCGGGTACGGTCGGGGGGGTTCGGAGAGGGTCTATCTAGGCCAGCATGGTCGTTGAGCATTGTCTTGGTTAAACATGAAAACTGGGGTTTTAAGAACCCATCCGCACATTCACCTATGCCTTGTTCGTCTGTCCAAGATGAGAGAGAAGATGCAACGCGATCGGGCTTGTACATAAATAGGTATATTTGTTCCAGCCTCTGGCTGTCGGGGGGACTGGGCCGCCGCTGTCGCTGTCGCTGTCGCTGTTAGAGGCTGGCGATGAGGTGTTTGAGCTGGACGGCATCCCTCTCCCGATAGCTCTCCGTCGCGAGGAGCATGACGACAGGGAGGCCCAAAGTGGCCGCTTCGGGTCACTTGCACACGACAAACGTCAAGGTTCACGATGCACCAATCAGAGCTCGCCGTCTCGCCTCCGGCTCCCCAGGGCCCAGAGGCTGTGTCATTGCGCGGCCTCGGTCGAGCGAGACATGTCGTCAGGCATCAGGTAACCTGGCTTCTTTCATCCAACGACCATCTATCCAGTCGTCCAACGGATTTTTGTTCATCTCGTTCTGCGTCTGTCCAACCCCGCATAGCGTTGCTGTCAGCCGTGTCGTTGTTTTGCATCCGTTTAAGCCTGATTGCATGGTTTTGTCGCTGTGGCGATGACGCGAACTGTCGTGTACAGTGCGGCCTTGGTCGCTCTGGTTGCGGGTGAGTTGACCTCTTTTTCTCAACGGTCGCCGACTCTATCGTGGAGTGGTTGCCGTTTTTGAAGCCTTGTTCTGGGATGTGTCGCTCAATTGCCGTGCTGTCCTGTCTTTACCCCTCCTCCCACATCCATCCATGCCACTCCCCCAATACACTCGAGCGTGCAAAACACAAAACATGGCAGACGCAATACTGACCTCCCCGACCAAGCCACGGCCATGACCCTCGCCTCCATCATCCACCCCAACTGGGTCTCCTACACCGTCACCAGCCCCGCCGGCGACACCGTCTACGACACCATCGGCCTGCACCGGCGCTGCAGCTCGACCACCAACAAGTGCGTCCCGTTCCCCGATCCGGCGCGCTGCCCGGGCCGGGCCGGCAGCGACGGCGGCCGCGCCTCGTTCTGCGCCATGTGGCGCACCACGGGCTTCCTCATGAGCTTCGCCGTCGTCGCGCAGCTGGCGGCCGCCGTCGGCTTCCTCATCACCATGGCGGGCGGGCGCGTGAAGCGGCACGGCGGGTGGCGGCTGCTCGCGGGCGCGCTGCTGGTGGTGGCGGCCGCGCAGTTTCTGGGCATGGCGGTTGTGGTGGGTTGTCTACGCTTCATACATACATACCTACCCCCGTTCGTTGATGCTGGGGATGTGGGCGCGCTGACGGGACATTTGTTTTGCAGGCTTATCTCTTTGACCACGACGACTTCTTCTTGGTGCCGGGGTATCGGCTGGACTCGTCGTGGTATCTGTGCACGTCCAGTGCGGCCGTCGCGCTGCTGGCGGCGTGTGGCCTGGCCATCGCGGCGGCCGTGTTGCCGCCAGAGGACGGATACCTGTTTCTGGGTGATTCTGGCGGGGTTTGATTGCGTGTCGATGATCGATATTTGGCGGCGAGGTGGTGTTGTGGTGGCAGACAACGGCCTGGGAGTGGAGGGATGGGTTCAAGTGAACCACGGTTGTCTTCTTCTTGCGCGGTATCCGTACGTCGTGCAAGCTGAGTATCCAGCGGAAGCCGTTGGGCCGACCATGTCGCAGGTTGTCGTAGATAATCTCGCTTCCGCTCGGCGAGCCGAGGTCCTAGTAATTAATTGCAGCTGTTGCGGTTGTCAAATGCGAAGAACGTGTTGGGCCGACGAGCGCGTCTGCCAGAAAGGTGCCGTCGCGAAAACCTCCGATTCAGATCTTCAGGGGTTGCGGATGACGCAACACTAGTATCCCCGCGGAACAGACAACCCCGCGATGGATCTTGGGCCAGCACGCGTCCGTCTTGGCATCAAGCATGGGCGCGGGTTCTGTATTAGGTAATACTAGTGTTCATGTAAGTTCACTCGTGCACGAAGCCACAGCGTGTGGCTGCCCCAGTGCCCCTTCCCGTTCGCTGATCGGAGATTGTGGGGTGCAGCTTCCCGGCACAGGGGGGGTTGATTGCCCAGTCAAAGTTTGTCAACAAGGGTCTTTTTTACGACCCTGCATAAGATGAGCCAGTGGATGATCCGCTACACGCGACTGGCGATGCAGCATTGCAGGGTGCAGGTGGCTTCAGCAGCGGCGCTTCTTTCTCTTTTCGTCCACACTCCTTTTGTGCCATTTTTCTCACCACCCAGCAAATTGGCTAGTTGGTCGCCCAAGGCAAGCGCCCTCAATTACTAGTATCGTGAATACTAGTATCGCGCCGAGACGGGTTCTCCCTGGCTCGTGTTAGACAGTACCAAGTATAAAAGACGGCGCCCATCGCGCCCTTCACTTGGTCAACATGTCGACCAGATATTCTCTACGGCAGACTCCAAGGTAAGCTGTCTTGTTGGAGTATTTCGCTCCCCCCTTTTCCCGCTGCCCTTTGCGCCGCGCTGTGTAACAGACAGACAGCCCACCGCTCTGCGGCTGCCGCTTGGCAACTTGCAGACCTCCTCTCCGCGCCACCTGCTAACCCCCCCCCCCCCCCCCTCAGGAAAAAGGAGTTGTTCGACGGCATGGTAGAGACACCTGCCCGCCGCAACATTCGCCGCAACAAGTCCCAGTTCCCCGTCGAGTCCGACACCGAATCCGCCTCGGCTTCCGAAGCCATGGAGACCAAGTCCCTGCGCCAGCGCGGCGTTGCCAAGTTCGTCGAGCACCTCGACGAGCCAACCCCGCCCCAGAGCCCCATGGACGCCAATGGAAAGATGTTCGAAGCCAGTGCCCCTGCCAAGGAGGATAAGATGATCGACGGCTGGAAGCCCGGCATGGACCCCAAGATTGACGTCTCGGGCGAGTACGAGTTTGGCGGGCCGTGGTTCGTCTCACTCATGATGGTCGGCTTCCCGGTCCTCATGTGGTACATGTGGATCGGCGCGACGTACTACAACGGCGGCGTGCCCAAGCCCGCCGAGGGCCAGAGCTGGAGCGAGTTCGGCGCGCACCTTGTCGACCTCGTCTACACGGGCGCCTACCCGCACGCCAGGGCCTGGATGATCTACTGGGTATTCTTCGTCGCCGAGGGCGCCATGTACTGCCTCATGCCCGGCGTCTGGGCGTACGGCAAGCCCCTGCCCCACGAGGGCGGCGAGCAGCTCAAGTACTACTGCTCCGCCTACACGTCCTTCTACACCACCATCGCCCTGGTGTCGGCCCTGCACTTCACGGGTGTCTTCCCGCTCTACACCATCATCGACGAGTTCGGCCCGCTCCTCTCCGTCTCGATCCTGTCCGGCTGGCTGGTGGCCATCGCGGCCTACATCTCGGCCCTTGCGCGCGGCGCCCAGCACCGCATGTCGGGCAACCACGTCTACGACTTCTTCATGGGCGCCGAGCTCAACCCGCGCATGTTTGGCATCCTCGACTTCAAGATGTTCTTCGAGGTGCGCATGCCGTGGTACATCCTGTTCCTCCTCTCGTGCGGCGCCGCCGCGCGCCAGTGGGAGCGCTACGGCTACGTCTCGGGCGAGGTCGCCTTCCTGGTCATGGCGCACTTCCTGTACGCCAACGCCACCTCCAAGGGCGAGGAGCTCATCGTCACCACCTGGGACATGTACTACGAGAAGTGGGGCTTCATGCTCGTCTTCTGGAACCTCAGCGGCGTCCCGCTGTCCTACTGCCACTGCACCATCTACCTGGCCAACCACGCGCCCGACGAGTACCGGTGGAACCGCTACGCGCTCGCCGCCCTCTTCGCCGCCTACCTCTTCGCCTACTGGGTCTGGGACAGCTGCAACAGCCAGAAGAACCGCTTCCGCGCCATGGAGCGCGGCACCCTCATCAAGCGCAACACGTTCCCCCAGGTGCCCTGGCAGACCCTGCACAACCCCAAGACCATCGAGACCGGCCTCGGCGACAAGATCCTGGCCGACGGCTGGTACGGCCTCGCCCGCAAGGTGCACTACACCTGCGACGTCTTCTTCGCCACGTCCTGGGGCCTGATCACCGGCTTCCAGAGCCCCTTCCCCTGGTTCTACCCCGTCTTCTTCGTCACCATGATCGCCCACCGCGCCTGGCGCGACATCTCGCGCTGCCGCGAGAAGTACGGGGATGCGTGGATGGAGTATGAGAAGCAGGTGCCGTATCTGTTTATTCCGGTGAGTTGGTCCCTGGGTTTTTTTTTTGGGGTGCGCGTATGCTAACGTCGTGGATAGTATGTCATCTGAGTTGTGTGACACTGTTGGGGACGGGCCGTGTGCGGGCCAAGTGTGATGAAAGGACGATGAAGGATGAAGGATGAAGGATCATGGACGAAATGTTGGATAGCGTGTGGGTTTTGGATTGGGGGTTGCTAATGGAGGAACCCGGTTGGATGGATGGATGGATGGATGGATGGATGGATGGATGGACGGATGGGGTGGGAGTCTTGAAATAGCGTGGTTACGTGGGGTGCGCCGGCGTCGTTGGCTGGGCCGGTGGCTTGTATACATCACCCACCTATGTATATCTGATACTGACTATTCATATTAATGTTAATGCCTCTACCATATCGGACCCAGCGCAGTATTCCATGCCGTGTGTTTTCAACTGACTAAACAGCGGTTCGGTGGAGAGTGGAAGACATGCATAGCAAGCACGGGGACAGAAACTAAGCAGGAAAGAAAAAAAGACAAAAAAAGATGATCCAATCGAGGACGGGAATTGAGCCCGACGTGGGGGTCGAACCCACAACCTTGAGATGTTTTCTGTACGGATACTCCTTAAGAGTCTCACGCTCTACCGATTGAGCTAGCCGGGCGAAGCCCGATTGGCGATTTGTTGTATGGTCGAGGCGAATCGGTGGGGTTTTGAATCGGGTTGAGGGTGTTTCTCGCTCTCTGGGATGTGGGTTGTGTCAGTGTGTGTGCAAGGTGGGTGGGTGGAGTGGCGAGTCAGGGGCAGGGGGGGGGGGTTGAGGCAGTCAGGGGTAGGGGGTCGGGGGGAATGATGGAAGGGAGAGATGGTTTGACCAAATCGTTTCTATGATTGACGAGGGCGTGTCTCGGTGGCGTAAAGGAACTATTCCATTGAGAGCCCAGCACCTTCACAATCTGATCCGGTTCGCAAGGGAAATCGCTCACCTCCCCCTGAAACAGCTCCCGCCGCGGTATTGTCACGTTATATATCCAAAGCACAATTCCAAGAACGCTGACCCGCAGTAGCAACACATTGCCAGTCCTAGACTACAATCTCGCCCCCATCATCCGTCTATGATGAGAAAACCAGCACCCAGAGCGATGAGAAACCATAATGTGACAATAGTACATGTCCCGCGAAGCCATTAACCGACCGTCCCCCAAGATGCGCCGCTCGCTCAACCCCCCAAGCCCGATTCCGTCACCTTGCCCACTATGCCAACCCAGCACCGGCGCCGCTATCCAGCCCTCGCGTGCGGGAGGGTATGGGCCGCTGCGTTGTTGTTGATCCACGTGGGGATATGGGGACCGTCGATAGTTACAGCGTGTCCCCCCATACCCTGTCAGTGGTGGAGAAATAAGCGTATTGATCAGCACGAGATGTTGAGCGTGGCCTTGGAGTTCATGAGCAGTGCAACAATCAAGCCGTAGAGACCTACGCCATGTTAGCGCGGCTCGGACGGAGGACTCAAAAACGCAAGACCTACCCAGGACTTCGGCGAAAATGAGAATCAGAATCATGCCGACGAACAGTCTCGGTTGTTGGGCAGTGCCGCGGACACCAGCGTCACCGACGATACCGATCGCAAAACCAGCAGCCATACCAGCAAGACCGACCGCAAGGCCAGCGCCGAGCTGGATGAACCCCGTGTAGAGGGCGTAGCCATCCTGCTTGAGGCCATCGGAAATAAGAACCGAGACGACGAGACCGTAGATACCGATGATACCGGCCATAATGACGGGAACAATGTCTGCGGGGCGAAAGTGTCAATCTCACGTCCCGCGAAGAGGCAGGCCCCGGTGGCATCCGGCTGCAATTGTAAACATACTCTTGACGATAAGATCAGGCCGGAGAACACCCATCGCGGAGATACCGACGCCGGACTTGGCTGTGCCGTACGACGCGCCTAGGCAGCAGAAGACGATGGCCGCGGTGCAGCCCATGGCACCGAAGAAGGGCTGTGTTGCGATGTCAGTATACAAGGCAATTTAATGTCGAATCGATGCCAGCGGCCGAGGCCGTCACCGCCGCCAACAAGCAGGCGGCAGGGTGGTGGAGACGGTACTAACCGCGTACGCAGGGCTGCAGAGAAGGGCATTGTTAGCAACGAACGCATGAGCGGCTACAGCGTGTGCATGGAGAAATGGGCCGGGCCGAGTTCCGGTGCGTTCGGTGTTGGTCGGGGGGGGTTGGCGGAGAGCTCGGGGGCGGGTTGAGGGGAAGACGTCGGCGTCAGGGTAGCGGCTTACCAGAGATCGGAGGACGGCATTGTGAAAGCTTGGGCGCGAAGCTGCGACAGCGACTAAGTAGCCAGATGATTGATTGATGTTTCGGAAGCGTTGGAGCTGGGCGCGCGATGGAGCGGTGTGGCAGATGGCGAAGGCGCGATCTGTTATGGGCGTCGATGATGGAGTGACGGATTCGAGGTTGGCTTAATAGCTGGGCGAGGTGTTTCCGGTTGGTTGGCCGTGCCTTGTCGAGCTTTGCCCGAGCCTGGCTGCACCCCGGCAATTCAGCCACTTTCTTTGAGCAATTATGTAATCCGGACACCGGTCGAACCTAAGCCCATTCTGCCGAGTCTGACCGCTCAAAGTTTGCTCCTGGCCGAATGCATGGATCACTTTTTCCTGCCACGCGCGAAACCGCTTCTTGCTTCTGGTGTCCCTCGCGATCGCATTCCCATCCCTCACATCCACGCAACCCCAGGGCGAGCAAACGCAGTGAACCCTGGCGACAAGTCGATTACCGGAATACCCATCGTCCCACGCACCGATCGACCGACTTTACAATGTCTGGACAAAACGAGTCTGCCGCTTGGCCCAAGGCCGAGGACCCCGCGCTGGTCCAGGAGCTCCTTGACTGCATCCAGCAGGCCAGCCACTACCGGCAGCTCAAGAAGGGAGCTGTAAGTTGCAGCCGTGTCTCGGTCCACTGCCGTCGAAGCATTGGCTAACGATGACTGTAGAACGAAGCGACCAAGTCGTATGTTTGCCACGCCTGTCTCTCCCCAAGACCCGTCGACTGACCCGATATGCAGGATCAACCGCGGCACCAGCGAGCTTGTCATCCTCGCCGCCGATACCCAGCCCCTGAGCATCGTTCTCCACATCCCGCTCATCAGCGAGGAGAAGAACGTGCCGTACGTCTACGTGCCCAGCAAGGTTGCTCTGGTAAGTCTCTGCGCCGCCGTCTCGATCCTCGGCGGCATTGCGTGCTTCTCCCGGCCCACGCTAACAGTCGACCAGGGCCGTGCGTGCGGTGTCTCCCGGGCGGTCATCGCCGTTTCCCTCACCTCCAACGAGGCTTCCGACCTCAACTCCAAGATCCGCGCCCTGCGCGACAAGGTCGAGCGCCTCGCCATGTAAGGCGGCATGGTCATGAGAAGGGTTATCCTGGTCAGGATGGGTAGCCGGCATCGTCAGGACGGTGATACGCCTGCGCATATCTGCCGGGCTGGCTGGACGGAGCAGGATTTGAAAGGCTTCTGAACCGTTGTAGTCTAGCACAGAATCTACCAAGAAATCTAACCAGCAAAGTTATCGGAACTCACTTCTCAAGCCAGGGTTGGGGTTGTTCTCTTCCAGTTTCAGTCGGCGTGGGGCTGCAGAGGGACGCTGGGGCTGGCGGAGTTGGGACGATCAAATACCCCACAGTTTACCGAACGACATCATCGAGCGGTGCCAGGCCCGGCCGCGACCCGCCCACCCAAGACCAGGACACGGTCCAGCAGCGTTGGCCCGGAGTTGGCGCATCCTCTATTGTAATCCCAACAACAATTTGCTTTCAAACGCACTCGTTACTCGGTATCCTACTTGGATTTGCCCACCCAGAACAGACTACTACAACTACCCGGACGAAGAAGCAAATCCGGCGCATCCTCCATCGTGCACCAACCGTCTCGGGGCATGGACGAAGACCCAACGCCCGACATGCCAGGCCTGGCGCGCAACGTAATCATCTGCGCCGCCGTCGACGGGTTGGTGCTGCACCCGCTCAGCTCCAACTCCTCCTCCAAACGCGACCCGCGGTCCTCGGCCCTGTCCCCGCCCGTGCGGATCAAATACGGCGACGCCGCCTCCATCGCCCCGATCCCCCGCGATGCCGCGCCCGACCCCTCCACCCTGCCGCCCGACTCCTCGTTCGAGGCTTTCGGCATCGTCGGTAAACCACCCACCTACCTATCCACCTACACTCTCAAGACCGGAGCCCGTGCCGTGCTGTGCTGTGCTGTGTAAGAATGCGCTGACGCCGCTGCCGCGCGACAGGCCTCGTGACCGTCTCCCGCCACCGCTTCCTCGTCTCCGTCGTGCGCCGCCAGCAGGTCGCGCTGGTCCGCGGCCTGCCGGTCTACGTCGTGACCGAGGTCGCGCTGACGCCGTGCGCGTCGCAGGCTGAGGCTGCGGCCGCGATCGGCGCGACGGCTGCGGCGCTGCGGAGCGGCGGCGCCGGGGGGAGAGAAGAGGCCGCGGACGAGGATGTGGCCGCGGGGGAGGGGAGCTCGACCGCGGCGACTAGTGCTGGGGAGGAGGACGGGGTGGTGTTGGGTGGGGCTGGGGAGGAGGATGGTGGGGAGGTTGGTAGTGAGGTGGAGGAGATGGCCGGGGCGGTTGATGGGGGGGCGGGGAAGCGGAGCAGTATTGCGCAGGATGTGATTGGGAGGCGGGGGAGCTATGGGCGGTTTGCGCGGAGCTGGTTTAGTCGGTCGGGGTGGGCGATGGATCAGAAGAGGACGATGGGGTTGAGTGCGGAGCAGCAGGTCCGGGATGGGGCTGCTCGTGGGAGGGGCAAGGACGCGAATAAGGGGGTGCCGGTCAAGCGTGGTGTCCCGAATGGGGCCGACGGGAGTGAGGCCGCGATACGTCTGCTGCCGAAGCTGCTGCGCACTAGCCAGATCTTGTTCGGGACGAGCAGGACCTTCTACTTCTCCTACGACTACGACATCACGCGCAGCGTGGCCAACCCCCGGGTTCCCTCGCGGCCGCTGGTGCCGCTGCACGAACACGTCGATCCGATGTACTTCTGGAACCAAAACATCATGCAGCCCTTCATTGACGCCGGGATAGACAGCCTGTCCCTGCCGCTGATGCAGGGCTTCGTGGGGCAACGCACCTTTGTCGTGGATAGCCAGCCTCCGCAGTCGGATGAAGACGCCAACAAGGATTCTGTCGAGCTCAGTAGTCTGAGTCCCTCCAGGGCCGCATCGCCGTCGCCCCCGGAGAAGGCTACCGCCGAGCTGCGGACGACAGAGAAGAAGTTCGACATGACCATCATCTCGCGGCGCTCCGTCAAGCGCGCCGGGCTGCGCTACCTCCGCCGGGGGATCGACGAGGACGGCAACGTCGCCAACGCGGTCGAGTCGGAGCAGATCCTCTCGCCCGCCGACGCCGCCTCGGACCCGGCCGCCAAGGTGTACTCGTTCGTCCAGACCCGCGGCAGCTTCCCCCTGTTCTTCACGCAGACGCCGTACTCGCTGAAGCCGGCGCCGGTGATGCAGCACTCGCCGGACTCGAACTATGCGGCCATGAAGAAGCATTTTGACGGTCTCCGCCAGCGCTATGGTTCGGTGCAGGTTGTCAACCTGGTCGAGAAGCGCGGGACGGAGGGGCCGATCGGCGACCGGTA